TTGGCAATGGTGTGGTCAAATGAACCTGTGTATAAAGGCCACCTATCTAATGTGACAAGTGACCACCTTTTTGGCAATGGTGTGGTCAAATGAACCTGTGTGTAAATATCACCTATCTAATATGACAAGTGACCACCCTTTTAGCAATGGTGTGGTGAAATGAACCTGTGTATAAAGGCCACCTACCTAATATGACAAGTGACCACCCTTTTGGCAATGGCGTGATCAAATGAACCTGTGTATAATGGCCACCTACCTAATGTGACAAGTGACCACCTTTTTGGCAATGGTGTGGTGAAATAAACCTGTGTATAGAGGTCACCTATCTAATATGACAAGTGACCACCCTTTTAGCAATGGTGTGGTGAAATGAACCTGTGTATAATGGTCACCTATCTAATGTGGCAAGTGACCACCCTTTTGGCAATGATGTGGTCAAATGAACCTGTGTGTAAATATCACCTACCTAATATGACAAGTGACCACCTTTTTGGCAATGGTGTGGTCAAATGAACCTGTGTATAATGGCCACCTACCTAATATGACAAGTGACCACCCTTTTGGCAATGGCGTGATCAAATGAACCTGTGTATAATGGCCACCTACCTAATATGACAAGTGACCACCCTTTTGGCAATGGCGTGATCAAATGAACCTGTGTATAATGGTCACCTATCTAATATGACAAGTGACCACCCTATTGGCAATGGTGTGGTCAAATGAACCTGTGTATAAAGGCCACCTATCTAACATGACAAGTGACCATCCTTCTGGCAATGGTGTGGTCAAATGAACCTGTGTATAAAGGCCACCTCTCTAATATGACAAGTGACCACCCTTTTGTCAATGGTGTGGTCAAATGAACCTGTGTATAAAGGTCACCTCTCTAATATGACAAGTGACCACCCTATTGGCAATGGTGTGGTCAAATGAACCTGTGTATAAAGGCCACCTATCTAACGTGACAAGTGACCATCCTTCTGGCAATGGTGTGGTCAAATGAACCTGTGTATAATGGTCACCTATCGAATATG